TTACCTAAAAAATAGAGGGTTAAGGCATAGTAAGGGCACAGGTCAAAAAAAAGGTCAAGAAATAGAACCCTAGAGATAAATACAAGTATGTTAAAATATATGTATAAAGGAATAGGAAGATGCCAAAAGCAGTCTGTTTCAGAAGTCTGCCTAGGGTCAAGCCTAGACCCTGGAAAGACAAAAGAATACTTTTTTTTCTCCTAAGACCAAGGGAGGCTCAGTCCTAACACTAAAAGTTTAGCAATATGAATATTTACGAGTTAAGTCACAGAATGAGTTAAATAGGCTTATATGCATTGTCTTGGGAAACTCTATCCACATAGTGTACACTGTTCCTTCAGGAAAATATAGCTTAAATTACAAGTAATCAATTTATGGACTCTTGGAATACAACTCTCAGTAGTTGGCCTGAATAAAATGATTCCATTTATTTCATGATTATAATAATCAATGTTTCCACAATATCCTGCAAAACTGCAGAATTTTATAACAACTGCATAAGTGAACTGTGCCAAAGATCAATGATAAGTAGCTGACTGAAGTCTACATTTTGTGGCTTGCCCAGCACCAGTTTGGCTACCATCAAGCAATGCTGGCAGAGCTGCTTAAGAAACTAATATTCTGACACTGCCATCTGTATTACATAAATGGCTATTTTTGCTCCTTGCATTTTATTTTGGGTATGATAATGTGGAAGAATGTAAGCTACCTCTGAGGGTACATTCTGATGATGTCAAGATGAGTGCTCTTATTCTGGATCTCTGAATTCTCCGCACAGAGAAGAGCAGTAGTAGTTCCTATGGCTATTAGTTAGCCTGGAAACTTTATACATGTGACCAGTGTGACCAAGTTGCCTTCAATCTTTAGGTTACTGGAAAAATCTAGTAAAAAATCAAAACAAAACACCAAAAACCCATTCACTTGAAACAAGTCTCTCAACAGTTGAAACTTTCTTGACAGAGTGTTTTTGTCCTGGCATTGCAATCCATATAGGCAAAGAAAAAAACCAATGTGCGATGCAACTAAAATTATTTTATAGGTCTCAAATGATACATAATTCATAGCAAATAGATGTTAGGAACACACAAAAATAACGTTAGCAAAGTCAGAAAAAGAATACGTATATAAAACGAATACTAGAAAAATAATCAGCTCACCAGCACATCCCTCATTAGGGCAGCTATTCACTGCAGCTATCCCTCTCCCCTCCATGTCTATCCAGGCTCCTACAGATGTCTGAACTAGTTACTCTACCACAGAACAAATCTCTCTATAGCAACTGCAGAATATGTAGGTACTCCAAATCAAATCAATTCTAGTTAACTTCAAAATTATAGACTTCGTTTTCATAATGATGAAAAGCTCTAGGAAAGCTATACAGCTTCCTTTTATGTCTCTAATAAACAAAACACCAATTTATGATTTATTGTAGAAAACATACATTATAGGAAAGAATTAGTATCTTTTTTTGAGATGGGAGTCTTGCTCTGTTGCCCAGGCTGGAATGCAGTGATGTGATCTCGGTTTGCTGCAACCTCCACCTCCTAAGTTCAACTGATCCTCTTGTCTCAGCCTCCTGATTAGCTGGGGCTGAAGCTGCATGCCACCACACCTGACTTTTTGTATTTTTAGTAGAGATGGGGTTTCACTATGTTGGCCAGGCTGGTCTTTAACTCCTGACCTCAAGTGAGCTGCCCGCCTTGGCCTCCCAAAATGCTGGGATCACAGAAATAGTATTTTTTAAAAACAGCAAAAGCCAGAGTTTGGGCTTTACATGAAGAAGAAATGAGTCAGAAACTAGCCTACAGTTTGAATGACATAACATATTAGTTCCAGAAATTGTAAAATTTCTGGACAACTCCTTCCTTTATACTTTTAGTATTCTAAACATCATTGTCTAATAGTGTATTATTTGTTTACATTCCTAATTACTTCCTACTAGACTATAAATTCCTTAAAGACAGATACCACATCTTAATCATCTCTATTTCTCCACTCTCTAGTACAATATCTGACATACAATAAATGCTCAACAAGTATTCCTTAAATAAACTAGAAGTATAACCTCAATTGAAATACATAAATCTCAACTCCCAATTCTAAAATATCTATGTGTGCATACTTACATATATAAAAGGGATAGGTGCTATTTTCATTTTCTCTTTATAATATTTGATTTGTTTGAGAACTAGAAACCTTGTATTGCATAACAGAGGGCTACACAGTATTCCAGGGAGTAGTAACATCAACTTGATCTTAATCACAAAATAATGCCTCTCAGCTAAATATGGTAGATATTATGAAACTGATGTCATAGGGCTTTAATTCTCAAACTGAGGTGATCTTGTAGAAGACAGAGAAATGTCTTAAATAATTCTGAAACCCATTCTATATTTATAAGTTCTAAAGAGATTTTTAAAAAATCACTATTAAGCAACATTCATCACCACTAATTGTTTGCCATGTGCCAAAAAGTTGTGCTACGCATTTTGCTATATCTCATGTAACCCCAATAATGATATGAGGTAGGTATTATTACCCTATTTTACTAAGAAATATTTTTAAACTATTAGGAAAAACTTTAGCTTTAGAGATGATCTGAACCAATGTTCTCATTTTACATATTAAACAAACAAAAAAAAGTATAAAGAAGTTAGTGTTATGCAGGCTTATAGCTGGTATGTAAGAACAAAAGGACATAGAGGAAAATATACCAACAAAGGCAAACTTAGGAAAAGGTCTAACCTGTCTAAGAAATGGTCAGAATTAATATTATTAGATAATTGACACAAACTAGGCCAGAGAAGGTGATTTTGACTAAGCTGTGGAAGTTAAATAATTGATATTTTTTCCTGAAATGATTAGGGAAACTAACAGGTGATAATAAAGGTGATTATTTTTATAGCAGCAGCTACTATTCATTAAATCCTTGAGAATTAATGCAGGTTTTATGTCCAAACCTTCACAGGATTTTCAAATGCATTCCTATGGTCCCAAAGCCAGTGCTACTCTTAACTTCTATGTTATAACATCTCCTCCAAAAGACCCTGGCAGGAGAATGACATGATTATACCTTCTCATAATAAAATAGATTATATATCTTTAGGAAAAAGAGCTATTATATATTAAAGAACGCACACTGTTTGAAACTTATGATGTAAGTGAAGACCTGTGAGCTACAGAAACCACTATTCACTGGGAGGCCCTGAAGGCAATCTCACTAGTTAACCAAAACGGAACTCATCTACCATCTTCTCAATACATTTTCTTTTTGGTTCAGCATCTCTCAATTATCCACAGTATTAAAGAAAACAGAACTCCAGAATTAACTGTCTAGCTATACTACCACCATTATTTCTACTTTTCATTTTTACCCCAGGTACAAGTGTTAAGTAGCAAAAGTGGCCAACCTGAACTGTACTTATCCTTTCTACTGGCATAACAAAGAATATGAGTTTGGAATCAAGACAGACTGGTTTCTCCATTTACCACCTACACAACCTAAATCAAGTTACTATTATCATTTCCATTTACCTTCAAAACAAACATTCCTACTGGAAGCAAGATGTTTTATTGTGAAACACCCACATTAAAAGGTTGTAAGGAAGTGATTAAAGGTGTTTATTCTCACAGGATGCTTCAGTGAAATGAAAGTTTCCTAGTCTGACATTTTAAGACATGGAGGCTTCCCACGTGAAGCCAAGAGATATCTGGTACTATATTCAATATATCCTTAATGAAGGAAGGGGGTCCACAAGGCCTTCAATAATGAAAGAGTCAACAAGAAAGGGGAGAACTGTTAAGATCTACCCACATATAAAAGCAGAGGACAAAATCCAAAGTAGCTTCCACTTAACATCTAAGAAGAGTTACATATAATAAGTAAAAGACGTTAGACACAAAGAATATATACCTCATTATTCAATTTGTATGAAGTCTAGTAACAGGGGAAACTAAATTATAGTGATGGAAGTCAGCAAAGTGGTTACTTTCAAGTGGAGAGAGGAAGGATGCTATTGGGGAAGAGGCGCAAGGAGCCTTGTGGGATAATAAAAATCTTCTATATCTATACGTGACCTAGGTAGTGGTTTCATGAGCACACACATGTAAAAATTCATTTGGCTGAGCACTTATGATCTGGGCATTTTACATACAACAACACATCAATCATAGGGGATGGGGTCAATTCAGAACAAGGACCGTAAAACTCCTAAGATTTTATAACCATATAACTTTGTATAGTTTTACATTTTTGTTGCCATTGACCTATTTCTCTATGGTGACAAGCAGTAAATTTGTTATAAACATAAGTTCAGTGTTTCTTTGCAAGTAGGTAGGAAGGTAGAAGCTGGGCAGTCTACATGGCCTTCTGTAGCTAGGTCTTAGGGGGCTAGAAACAGAAAGAACCCAGGGAGTGTTGGCTGACAAGTGGTGGTAGACACAATGATAGAAGAACATGGAGAGATAGTTGGGCTTGATAGGAAATAAGAATCCCAGAGGGTCTCAACAGTTAATAATTTATCTACATACTATAATATAATCCCTGATGTCCTGTAGGTACTCACTGAGCTTTATAAACTTGGTTAAAAATACACTCTTTTCCAACAGAATTTTTAGAAATGATTTCCTCGCAAATCAATCTGATTATAAAATCTAACTTTAAGCTTGAGAAACATAAACTTTACCATAACCATCATCCGCTCTGGACAATACTAAGGAAAAGACCTATGTATTATATGAAGTTGTACACACTCCATTTTATGGCTTTCATTAGCTGTTAGAACCATGCGCTGTGCTTCTCTGACACATTTATGGAAGATGTTTGTTAGAGTCACAAAGAAGGGGGTATGTGAAACCAATGAACAAACAAACCTAGATTAACCAATCTTTGACAATGTCACCACTCAACAAAAGAAAAAAAAAGGATGTAATGGTCTAAGACAAGGTATAATGAGCAAGGCCCCATAACAAACCCTCTAAGTGGACGATTCCATTCTTACCTTTATCACGATCATAGAGCAAATCTTCTGTTGAGCAAGGGCTACCATCCTGGGATTCCGGGGGACAAAAAGGGGAGACACAGGGTGAATGACTGCTGCAGCTACTGCTGCGCTCCTGGACAGAAGGAGTCTGAGTGTCAATGCTGCGAGTACTACTGCTCCGGTAATGAGCAGGGAGTGGAGCTCTTCGACCATCTGGTATGTCCAACGGCTGTAAGAGGAACACCATTAAACATCCAAATGCTGGTGCATACATTCATCTACATAGAAAGCGCATAGTATTTCCTTTGATTTCCTATTCCACCACTACTGACCCAATTTATTCTTCAAAGGCTAAAGACCAAGCTTGTATCTTAAGCTAATTTCTATATATGTTAACTTTATTGAACTAAACATTTCTTTTCAAACAAACTGTTGGCCTTAAAAATTCCATAGCTCACTGTATGTACCTGTAGGTCAGCACATTCCACAAAACTCTTCAAGGACAGCAGGAGTCCTGTGCCTGGTACTACTCCTGGCACATGGCAGATATTCAGTAAACATTTGCTGAATGAATTAACAAAGCTAAAAAAAAAATCACTTTGACTTGCTTGTAAGAAAAAGTGAAATCTCATATTCACAGGTACAGATTTTTCTGTTTGTTCTTCCTTCCTATTTTAATTTTTTAGAGGCCATGAACAGAACCATAGTTTCTATTTCCTTTGCAAATGATCCAAAATTTCTAACAAAGAGGTTTATTCTATTAGTAATCAATAGAGGTTATTAATGTAACTCAGAAGAATTTTAATATTAGAAGAATTTGGATATCAAATTCTAATTTGGTATCCAACTAAGTAGGACTACTCGTAATTTTCCTTAGTTTGAATACCTTGTTCTCAGTAGCAGAAAGAGAAAAAAGGAAACCATCATCATAGAGCCATATATTTTGGACCTGAGGGTACCTCAGAGCTCACTGGTCCATTGTTTTGTTTTCACAAATGAGGAACCTATAGTTCAGTGACACAGCTAATTAAGTGGCATCAGAGATGCTGCTGCAGTGGACTCTTTCTACTTAACTACTCTGCTTCTGTAAAAATACATCTTACTCCATATTCTTCATTTGTGTGCTAACAAAGTGAGGTTAACAAGTAAAATTCTCTATATTAAGTTACTATATAATTGAAAATATTTGCTGTTATTAAACACACAGGATTGCAATGCTAGGGAAAAGAACCAATATGCTGTTATTTTATTTATAACTTATTTTCACTATTTATTGTGTCTACTGCTCTTACTCTGATCATTGTCATTTCAGAGATTTTAGAAACACTGTTGAGAGGGGAAATGAAGGAAGGTAAAATCAGGTGAGATTCAAAATGTATCAATATTTTCTATACCAAACAAGTGAAGGCTGAAATCCGAAACTTTGCAAATGAGAACTTCATTTAGAGTTCTGCCCCTGCTGCCCCTGGACTGGAGAACAAACAAAGAGGCTGAGGGCTTTACTTGCACTACTAGCATGACATACTCACCATACAGAGAGGAGCCCATCTCCTCCCTGTGAGCCCTCAGCACCCCACCTTTCATCTGGTGGGGCTCCTGGCTCAGGCCAGCAGCACAGCTGCCCCACCCCCTGGCTGAACATCCTGGTAGCAGCGGATCTGTGTTTCTGAAGTGGAGGTCCCAGACGCAACCAAAAGACCCTCTGCCATTACCACTGCAGTGGTACTCCCCTTGCTACCCTTGGACTAGGAAAGGAGTAAAGACCCTGAGTGCTTTAACCACACCTCCAGCAAGCTGCCACTGCCCTAAGAAGAGATCAGTCTGTCTCCCCCAGGATCCCCCCAGCTTGAGCCCACAATGCAGCTGTCCTACTCCAAGCCAATCACACTGACTGGCAGCAGTTCTGCATTTCTCTGGGGTGGACCCCAGAGACGGGTGAAAGGCCCTCTGCCATAGCCACTGCCAAGTTCCCTTCCCGTACTGCCTCCAAGCTCGGAGAGAACATAAAGCCTTAGCTCACCCCAGGGCTGAAGCCTGGGAGTGCCAAGCCGAGATCTGCAGCCAGCACTTGAGTGGGAGAGGAGCCCACACTTTCAGAGCACTGAGAGGGAGCACAGTTGCAATCATGAGGAAATACAGAAGAGCCACGTGGCTGAGCAAGAGCTTACCTACTGGCCATTACGCTTAAGGGCCATCAAACTTCAATCACAGTGCAAACTTCAATACAAAAAATACTTTGCTAATAAACCCTCCTGTGAAACTAAAGACAATAACTCAGCTACAAATAAAAACCTTGTACAATGCCTCAGACTCTAAAAACATCCAGAAAAGTCAACCAACTGTACAAATTATGCCACGGTTGAAGGAACACCAGCCCACACAGGTGAGAAAGGACCAGTGCAAGAACTCTGGCAACTCAGAAAGCCACAGTGTCTTCTTTCCTCCCAATGACCACATTAGTTCCCCAACAAAGGTTCTTAAACAGGTTGGAATGGCTGAAATGACAGAAAGATAGAATTCAGAATATAGAAATGAAGGTCATCAAGATTCAGAAGAAAGCCAAAACACAATCCAAGGAATCTAATGATTACCATAAAATAATACAGGAGCTGTTTGATGAAATGGCCATTATAAGAAGGAACCAAACTGATCAGAGAGTTGAAAAACACACTACAAGACTTTCATAATGCAATCCCAAATATTAATAGCAGAATAGACCAAGCTAAGGAAAGAATCTCAGAGCTTAAAGACTGGTTCTCTGAACTAAGTCAGATGAAATTTTTTTTCCTTTTTTTTTTTTGAGATGGAGTTTTGCTCTTGTTGCCAGGCTGGAGTGCAATGGCACAATTCTGGCTCACTGCAACCTCCACCTCCTGGGTTCAAGAGATTCTCCTCCCTCAGCCTCCTGAGTAGCTGGGATTATAGGTGCCCACCACCATGCCCGGCTAATGTTTTGTAATTTTGGCACAGATGGGGTTTCACCACGTTGGTCAGCCTGGTCTTGAACTTCTGACCTCAGGAGATCCACCTGCCTTGGCATCCCAAAGTGCTGGGATCACAGGCATACGCTACCGTGCCTGGCCGAAAAAATTTTTTTTAATGAATAACAGAGAATGAACAAAGCCACTGAGAAATATTGTACTACGTAAAGAGACTAAATCCACAAGGCACTGGCATCCCTAAAAGCGATGAGGAGAAAGCAAGCAACTTAGAAACCATATTTCAGGATATTGTCCATAAAAACGTCCCCAACCTCACTAAAGAGGCCAACATTCAAATTCAGGAAATGCAGAGAACCCCTGCAAATACTACACAAGAAGACCATTCCCAAGACACATAATCATCAGATTCTCCAAGGTTGGAATGAAAGAAAAAATGTTAAAGGCAGCTAGAGAGAATAGGCAGGTCACCTACAAAGGGAACCCCATGAGGCCAACAGCAGACCTTTCAGCCAAAATCTTGCATGCCAAAAGAGATTGGGAGCCTATATTCAGCATTATTAAAGAAAAAATTTCCAAGCGAGAAGTGCATATGCAGTCAAACTAAGCACATAAGCAAAGGACAAATAAGATCCTTTTCAGACAAGCAAATGGTAAGAGAATTCATTACTACCAGACCTGCTTTAAAAGAGATCCTGAAAGGAGTGCTAAATCTGGAAAGGAAAGAACATTATCAGCCACTACAAAAACACAATTAAGTACACAGAACAGTGACACTATAAAGCAACTACACAATTAAGTCTGCATAATAACCAGCTCACAACACAATGAAGGATCAAATCTCTACATATCAATATTAACCCTGAATGTAAATGGATTGAATGTCCCAATTAAAAGGCACAAACTGGCAAGCTGCATAAAGAAGCAAGACTAAAAGGTAGGCGTCTTCAAGAGACCAGGCTCACATGCAAAGACACCCATGGGGTCAAAATAAAGGGATGGAGAAAAATCTACCAACCAAATGGAAAACTGAAAAAAGCAAGGTTGCTATTCTAACTTCAGACAAAACAGAATTTATACCAACAAATATCAAAAAAGACAAAGAAGGGCAGTATATAATGGTAAAGGGTTCAATTCAACAGGAAGACCTAACTATCCTAAATATACAGGCACCCAACACAGGAGCACCCAGATTCATAAACCAAGTTCTTACAGACCTACAAAGAGACTTAGATGTCCACAAAATAATAGTGGGAAACTTCAACACCCCACTGCCAGTATTAGCCAGATTGCTGAGGTAGAAAATTAACAGAGATATTTAGGACCTGAACTCAACACTTGACCAAATGAATTGAATAGACATCTACAGAACTCTTCAACCCAAAACAATAGAATATACATTCTTCTCATTACCACACGGCACATAGTATAAAAACAACCAAACCAATGGACATAAAAGAATCCTCTACAAATTAAAAAAAGCTGAAATCATGCCAACCACACTTCTGGACCACAGTACAATAAAAACTGAAATCAATACTAAGAAAATTGCTGAAAACCATACAATCACATGGAAATTAAACAATCTGCTTCTGAATGGCATTTGGGTAAACCATGAAGTTAAGGCAGAAATCAAGAAAGTCTTTGAAACTATGGGAACAAAGATACAACATACTCGATTCTATGGGACACAGCTAAAGCAGTGTTAAGAGGGAAATTTACAGCTCTCAAAGTCCACATAAAAAAAAAAAATCAGATCTCAGATAACAACTTAACATCACATCTAGAGGAACTAGACAAACAAAAGCAAACCAACTCCAAAGCTAGCAGAAGACAAGAAATAACAAAAATCAGAGCTGACCTGAAAGAAACTGAGATGCAAAAAATCATAAAAAAGATTAACGAATCCCTGCGTTAATTCTTTGAAAGAATAAGTGAGAGAGACTGCTAGCTAGACTAATAAAGAAAAAAAGATCCAAATAAACAAAATCAGAAATGACAAAGGGGACAGTACCATTGACTCCACAGAAATATAAAAAACCCTCAGAGACTACCATGAACACCTCTATGCATACAAGCTGGAAAACACAGAAAAAACAGGTAAATTCCTGGAAACATACAAACTCCCAAGACTGAACCAGGAAGAGAGAATCCCTGAACAGAACAATAATGAGTTCTGAAATTGAGTAATAAAAAGCCTACCAACCAGAAAGAGCTCTGAACCACATGGATCCACAGCCAAATTCTACCAGATGTATAAAGAAGAGCTAGTACCATTCCTACTGAAACT